CTAGTAGGTTGCAGGCCATCGCTCTTAGGTTGGAGGCCATTGCTCTTAGGTCGGAGGTCATGGCTAGTAGGTTGGAGGCCATCGCTCTTAGGTTGGAGGTTATGAGTATTAGGTTTGAAGCTGGTAGGTTGGAGGCCATCGCTCTTAGGTCGCTGATATCGAGCGCGTGGCTCGGGAAGTGCAACTTCTGAAGCTCATCAGGTGCCCCATCGGTTTTGTTGGCTGCTTTTTCTGTGCTGGTTGTGTTCGGAGATGTTGGGAGTAAGAACAGTAAGGGCAATGGTTATTTGCTCCTAGTAGCCCCTAGTAGCGTCCTTGCCCTTGCTCCTAGTAGCGATACCTGAAGTCCCTAGTAGCGTCCTTCTGAACAGTTGAAGGATTATACAATCAAAGTTTCAAGATGTTTCAACCGAACAACTACATTCCATTGTGTGAATATGTGAGTGACAGTTCAGTTAAGCAGAGTAGTATTATGTTTTTAGAAGCGTTCGTTTTGCTGCATGCTAGTTTAGTTGTCTTTAGTTCAACAAGGGGTTCATTTGGTAGATGAAGATAACAAAGAGTTACTAAGAACAAAGACGCTACTAGGAACAAAGGGCATCGCTACCAGGAGCAAGGACGCTATTAGTTTAATACGGACAAAGCCCCTTGGCCTTTTGGAGGCATCCACATGTGGTGCAGCTCTTTGAAATCATTGAGACAAAGGGCCAGCTCAGACCCAAGATATGTCTTTCGCGCAACTGAATACAACGTATATGTTTGCTGATTTTTTGCTTTTCACTTTGACACATGGTCTTTGTTTTTCTCAATTGGTCAAATTTGTTTTTTCCTGTTAAACACTTTTTGTCTTCCGAGGCTTTATCTCATCATGGAATATGCTTCTGGTGGGGAGCTCTTTGACTACATTGTCCAGCACCAGCGTGTCCCCGTTCGCCTGGCGATTTTACGAGGTATGAAGCCTTTGTTTCGCACTGAGGTTAAACCGGCAACCAAAAAACAACAAAACTCTACTAGGGGCTCCTGGCCTTACTACTAGGAACAAGAAGCTACTAAGGGCTCCTGGCATCGGTGCTAGGAGCAAGGATGCTACTAAGAGCAAAGGGAGGGGTAGGCCGTGTAGAGTGAGGTAGGTTAGCTACGTAGGTAGTTTGAGTAGCTACTACCGACAGGACGCAGGATAGCTCACGCTTCTTCAGGATAGCTCACGATTTTTCTTCTTAGCTTCCCTTTTTTTAGCCCGCTGCCCTCCCCTCCCTACTTAATTAAGTAGGCGATGGCCTCCAACCTAAGAGCCATTGCCTAGAACCTCAGAGCGATGGCCTCCTTTCCTTTCGCGATTACTGAGCTTTAGTGAGACACTTGGTACAAAGCATGCACACAGTGCCCCTCATCCATGGTAGTCCAGTTGGACATGAGTGGGCTCTTCGACCGCGGTTGCATCATGCAACTGCGTAAACTCATCAGGGAGACCAGCCTCTAAACAGTCAGGGCACAATCTGTACACGTAGCTGTGGAAGGCTTCAGCTAAAGTGGCATTCAACGCAGCAGGGTAAATTTTTGCCCTGGCCGTTCTAAAAGCGCCTTAGCACTTTCCTGCAAGGCCGACATGTGTGCATGACAATCTCCGAGAAAGCTTCCATTCTCACCAGCATCAACGTGGTGGGTTTCACACCGGCTGCCCCAAACACGCATTGGTCGAAAGACACAGCGGAGACAGCATCAGCCGTTGCTATCTCTCTCATCTCTCGTAGCTGCCAGATGGATGTGCATGGTGTCCCATACATCCATGTTGCTGTTTGGGGATGCTCGATGAATCCGCATCCGCCGAAGGCCATCACCAACGTAAGAAGCTCCATGGCAACTTCTAAGAGGCCTGTCCGAACGGACACCTGCGCATGCTGCTTGCGTGTGAGGTGCTTCAACCCCCATGGCGATTGCCGATCACGCAATGGCGGCGGACCGCCGCCAAGCCAACGGGCGACTGACCAAGTCTCACAAGGCGGACCGCCGCTGACGTCGATGACTTGTCGTGCTAGAGATCTCCATCTGCTCCTTGCAAGCATAGGTCGACACTGAGGCAGAAGGTCTCAATGTTATGGACCCACGTGTGCGCCTCAATGCAACTCTGCAGGTCATGCTGCCTTCTGAAGCCTGAAAAGAGATGCACAAAAACAACTGTGCGCAGATGGATGCGCGCATCCCATACAGACACTGAGTCTCTCCTCAGTATGCCAGCTGTGCCGGAATTGAAACCTCGACCCTGCTGGAAGAGGTGCGCGTTCTCCGGGAGGACCACAGGCACCGGGGCAACCGGCTCGGCAGTTTGCACTCCCTCGACGTTACACCAAGGCCTCTGACAACCAGGTCCTTGCTGGCATTTACGAAAAATCGCTTTTGCCTCAGGGCTCCCTACTGGTGGTAACGCTGCAAAGGGAGCTCGCATCGCTGGCAGGCCAACCTAATGCCTTTTGCTGTGCACTTAGCTGTCGATCTACCTCATCGAGTTCCTCCACTGCAGAGTGGTGGAAAAGGCCTTGCTGCATAATTGGCAAGCAAAAGCAGGGACTTGCGGCGACGACATGACAGTATGGCAAAAGGACAACCCATATCCCTGGAAAGCTATCTAATCTTCAAAGGCCACAGTCTATGTTTTGCTATGCGAAGAGCAAAGCGAATGGCAGCTTGCTCAGCGTTCTTAACTCTGGCTTTCCACGTGTCATCCTTCGATGCGAAAGTGCAAATGTCAATCAAGGTGGCGTCCGGAGTCGGCCATTCCCCTTTGGGATTATGATCTTTCAGCCACTTGAGGTCGTTGAACAGATGCTGCTGCCAACCATTCTCATGGTCACAGGCCTGAAGGATGTGCCAGACAGAATCCGGCTGGCGTCTCACTGCTCTGGCAAGATACCTAAGCCTATTGACGGTAATCTGCTGCGCAGGCTCAAGCATGTTGCAGAAAGCAGCCAGCTCTCCTGTGGTAAACGCATGTGCTTCATGCCCTGTCAGCATAGGCTTGACTAACGGCGTGATCATATCACGAAAGGCGTCTTGCACCTTACGAAGATCTTCATCCCGCACCCAGGACCGGACATGACACCGGTAAAAAAGGCGTGACCCGACAAGGCTACGAAAAAGCAGGTGCTTGTTTGAGTGGGAGACGGCAGGGTTGCACCACAGATTGCGCACCAAAGGGTTTTATGCCTTCTTGGCCTCAGCAATTCTGTGCTGCGCCTCTCGCGCTGGTGTGGCATCACTCTGGACATAAGAGCCCAGGTGCACACCGAACACTCTCAACCGAGTGCTCAAGCACTATACCGGGACACATTGTCGTTGGTCGACAAAAATGGATATTTTTAGGGCACGCGAACAATTTCAGTCTTATCAGGCTTGAAATTGATGCTCATGCTTCTTTTGCGAGCAGCATCACTGAGCATGGCCAAGGCTTGAGCCGCAATCTGCAGGACTTGAGTTCTGTCCTTTGCAATGATACAAAATGCAGCGTCGTCGAAAAAGGCAACATCAACGAATGCTGGCTGTGCGGCCTCATGTTTACCTGCTCGATGCCGGTGAGCAAGCCAGTCGAGCGCACCAAGCTGTGTAAACTGGGCCCTGACTTCCTTCAACAACAACTGCATCAGGATGTTGAAGGTGATGTCTCCTATGGGATCACCTGGCCTTGTGCCACGAGATGTACGCCTGGCATATGGCAACCCCCTCATTGTAAAATGCGCTTGCCGAAAAGCATCGAACGTGGATTGCTGCACCGCCGGTGTTTGATGTTTCAGCGCAAAATCAGCCTGGGCCTGACGCTCCCATTCGAGGAGCTCCTCTGGCAAAAAGCCGTGCTGCTGCAGGAAGTGACAGAGAGCCATATGAACAGACGATGTAAATTACTTGGGCATAAAATTAGAAGCAGCAACGATGACCCCATGAGACAAATATCATTCGTTGATAGCGCTGCATCCAGAGTTGATTACGGCACCAACCGAGTTGGGAAACCGATGCAAAACTGGCTGCATATCACAAACAGATTTGCGCGCGAAAACGTTTTAAGACATCACAATTTCGATGAAAACACCGATGATGCAAGAATATGTGCAGCCGCATTGAACAGAGATTTTTAATTACCGTTCTTTGGCTGCGCCAACGCCTTGCAATGAGCCCGTCCGGACCAGGTCGGCGCGAGGTATGGCTGGGAAAAAAGGAGACAGATTTTAGCACAGGTGGGAACCTGCCTTAAGGCTTGAACAAGCTCAGACCACCATTTATTGACTTCTTGATGCGTATCAGCAGAACCCCAAAAAGGTGCATGCCCGGAGCCAAAGATCCAGACCCCGAGTGGGTTGTCCACCCGCATGACTAGGAGCCTGGGATTGGACACAAGGAGCGCAAGTTTAGACTGCTCCAATCCAATGTGCGAACCTTGCACCAAAGTTCACACCCAAACAATCTTGCATTCTGAGCTGTATGTGCTCCAGAACTGAAAATTCGATAGTGTTCAGTATTGGAGCATCCCACATTCATGCGAGCTTCTTGCAGTCCAGCTACCACAATGCCACTCTCGTGGAATTGTACATCAATTCTTCCACTCTTATTGCCTCCACGGCGTCCACCTTGGTCAATGACTTGCTCATCAACCAGAGACAGCGCATTGTAGGACAACACTTTCAACCTAAGAGCAAAGGGCTCTCCAACCTAAGGGTGATGGTCGGCAACCCAATATTTGATGGCCTCCAATGTGTTTTGTTTTGATTCAGGTTTGTCTAAGCTTTGATGCCAAAGGGGCTGACAGTGTTTTTGTGTTTTCTTATTGACGCTATTAGAAGCAAGAAGCTACTAGGGGCTACTGGCCATACTACCAGGAGCAAGGACCCTACTAGGGGCTCCTGGCCTCGCTACTAGGAACAAGGACGCTACTAGTACTAGGGGAGAAGGCATTGAAGGCACCGAGGTGACTGAAACACTTGGAATATTGTTTGGGTTACGGAGAATGCGAAGCAATTCGGGGCAACGGATTTGCGATGCACTTGTTACTAGTAGCAATGGCCTCCAACTTAAGAGCAGTGGCCCCCAACCTAATAGCGATGGCCTCCAACCACAGGGTGATTGCATAGATTATATATCACAGTAGGAAGGGTGAATGAAGTTTATATGACAAGCAATTAGCACGTGGGGAAAGATGCTAAAGCTACTTGACTACAAGTTTTCCTACATATCTAGGAACCAAATTATTAGTGCGAACGCTTCCTTGAAGACGCGTGAGCTATCCTGCGTGCTAGGTAGTAGCTACTTGTAGGTACTAGCTACCTCTTCCACTAGCCTATCTAGCTACCTCTACGGCCTCAACAGAAAGCTTCTTGTTTCTAATAGCGATGCACTTGTTACTAGTAGTAAGGCACTTGTTCCTAGTAGCGATGCACTTGTTTCTACTAGCGGCCTACCCCCCCGAATCTTTCTATTTCGGGCCTCTTCTGTCGCCAGGAGGTGGATGCTTGCTGTTTTTTCCATCAAATCATTGCTGGAGCCACATCCTTGAGAGCGCCGTTGAAAGCGTCTCAAAGCGGCGAAAGAAGCGCCAAAGTAGTTTGAAAGACCTAGTAGCGCCCCGTTCGTAGCGTCCTTGTTTCTAGTAGCGATGCCCTTCGCTCCTAGTAGTAAGATTGCAAGTAATAGTGCTGTCCCCTGACAGCATTGCAAGAGGCAAGCACGAAGGGCGGAATCACCAGAAGTGTTGCTTGCCTTTGCTTCCGTGTTGCCCAAAGAGCCCATTGTCAGGTGGAGAAGATTCATCAACTGAACGTGGTTCATCGGGTGGGGACCCAAAGTTGGGCTTTTGGGTACTTAAAGGCTACTAGGAGCAAGGGCATCGCTACTAGGAGAAAGGACACTACTAGGGGTTCTGGCCGTGCTACTAGGAACAAACTTCTTTTTTGAGTTACTACTAGCGATGGCCTCCAACCTACAAGTTGATCATGTCATATCGTCCAATCAAATTATATTTAAACTATAATAGCAAACATTGTTACTAGAAGTAAGGCACCTGTTCCTAGTAGCGATGCACTTGTTACTACTAGTAAGGCACTTGTTTGGAGTTGGACGTGGCAGTGAAATCTGCCAAGGGGTGTTTCGCTAGAAAAGGGACAAACGAAAGGTCTTAAAAAAAATAGGAAGGCAAAAGTAGAAGAAGAATAAAACGAAAGGTCATGTTTATTTGTTCTCCATTGCTAGGTTGGAGGCCATCGCTATTAGTTTGAAACACCCTTCCAAATCGAACCTGCGAGGAAACTACCTAGACCTACCTAGCAGACCTGGATTGCAGACTTATACCTAGTAGCGTCCTTGCTCCTAGTAGCGATGCCAGGAGCCCCTAGTAGCTTCTTGTTCCTAGTAGTAAGGCCAGGAGCCCCTAGTAGCGTCCTTGCTCCTACTTAGCTTTCTGACTCTACCCAAAACGAAAGAAAGATACCGCTTCTGTCAGAAAGAAGAAACAGTCAACGTTCTTAGGACTTGAAGCCCGAGAACCTGCTACTGGACGAGCCAAGCTCTCAAGACCTCAACCTGCGCCATTTTGTTTTCCTTTTTCCAGTAAACTCTGTAGTCGTTGCCTTTTTCCAGTAGGGTGGAGGCCATCGCTACTAGGGCGGAGGCCGTTGCTTCTAGGGTGGAGGCCATTGCTACTAGGGCGGAGGCCGTTGCTTCCAGGGTGGAGGCCATTGCTACTAGGTTCATTCTTTATTAAGTTTTTCAGATTTCAGTCATGTGTCTTTTGCGAGGCAAGAATCCTTCTCGCTTCAACGGTTTCTTTTTGTCCTTTTAGGCACAAATGCATCAAGATCGTTGACTTCGGCCTCAGCAATGTGGGGAAGCGAGATTAGAAAGCAGAAACGCTAGTTTCTTACTTCCAGTTGCGAGGCCTTCACAATGAATTTCCTTTCCAGCTTCGCTTGTACTAGTAACAAGTGCATCGGTAGTAGTAACAACAAGCTAGTAGAAACAATAAGCTACTTTCGCTTGCTTCGCTTGCTTCGCTCCTTTGCCAGCGCTTTGAGCCGAACCAGCTGCTGAAGACAGCCTGTGGCTCGCCATGCGGCCTGAATGCAAAGCAGTGTGGATACCGGGAACCAATGCAAAGCTCAATGGAAGCTTCAAAGAAGGAGGTGTCTATTGCTCGTAGTAGCGATGCCAGGAGCCCCTAGTAGCTTCTTGTTCCCAGTAGTAGGGCCAGAAGCCCCTAGTAGCGTCCTCGCAGTTTTGGAAAGAGTGGCGCTGACACACATCCTAGTGAGTGAGATGCATCCTGCATGCCGGATGGAGACACCGTGGTGATTTCCACTTTAGCGGGAAAGGGATATTACATATTCAAGAGGCACAAGTGAGGCAAGAAGCTACTAGTAGCTCCTGGCATTACCACTAGGAACAAGAAGCTACTAGGCACAAAGGCATTACTAGTAGTAGCAAGAAGCTACTAGTAAGAAGGGCATTGCTACTAGGAACAAGAAGCCACTCGGAACCAGTTGGCCATCCCAAGTTCACGGTCTCCAGGCTATGCCCCACCCGAGATGGTTTCTGGGCAAAGCCAAGCTCCCAGAGAAAAGAGACAGAGACATGCCAGACATGTGCGGCTGAATGTAGCTATTAGAAGCTCATGAGCAGAGCGCTAGAGCCTTTGTTCCTGTTTGTAGTTTCGACGTTGGGGCAGGTGGGGCAATAAATCATAGTGCCTCAGTGCCTTGTCTAAGCAAGATGGAAAGGTAGTTTAGACGAAGGCCATGTACTTGCTTCACTGAAGGCTACACGCCCTGGAACTATCATGGAAATGGAACATGTCCACTAGAAAAACCGTTCTCCTTGACAAAAAGGTGTTTCCATGATTTCAGGGAGTGTATGTGCCCTTCTAATCTGGTGCCTTTTTGGTGAAGCACAAAAGCTTGCCAGGCTATGTTCCGCAGATGTGTGACCTTTGGAGCTGTGGCGTCATCCTTTTCGCTGCTCAGATGCAAATGCTCTGCTATGGCCTCCAACCTAGTAGCTTCTTGTTACTAGTAGCGATGCACTTGTTACTACTAGTGGCAATGGCCTCCACCCTAAGAGCGATGACCATCCTGGAGGCAAACACGAGATAGACAGAAGAGAACTCGCCGACCAACTGTCAGCTTAATTGGACGACCAACAGTATAGGGTCCGCACCTCTTCTGAGTGGCTCTTGTTGACGCTCCAAGTTCAATTCTAATAGCTTTTAGCTTCTAGTGAATTCTTGTTTCTAATAGCAAACATTGTTCCTAGTAGTATGGCCAGGAGGCCCTAGTAGCGTCCTTGCTCCTAGTAGCGATCAGGAGCCCCTAATAGCGTCCTTGCTCCTACCTCAATAGTTTGTTGTCTCAAAAACCAACCTATGTTCAAACAAAGACTAGTCTTTTGATTTGTTTAAAGACTAGTCTTTCATTTGTCTTTGTCTGAGGCGATGGTGTGCGGTTTTCTGCCCTTCGAGGCCTGCACACACGTTTTTGCCTGTTTTGAGGTAGGCTGCTTTTGTTCAGCTTGCAATGTTGCTAATTGCTAATTGCTACGCTCGCTATTAGGTTGGAGACCTATAATGTTGGTTTTTCCCTAGCAGTTGAGAAAAACTCAATATTGGGACACAGAAGAGCGAACGCTTCGCACGGTTCCTAGAAGATTTGCATTATCAATAGGCATCAATGTAGCTTCTTGTTCCTAGTAGCGATGTCAGGAGCCCCTAGTAGCGTTCTCGCTCCTAGTAGCGATGCCCTTTGCTCCTAGTAGCGTCCTCGCTCCTAGTATAGACTATATTACGTTCTTGTTTTGTGTGCGTCGCTTCGGATGCATTCTTTTCGGATGCTTTTTTTTTGTTGTCGACTTGCCTTCAGTTTGTCCTATTTTGTGGTCAGATGGTGGTTGCGCTGAGGATTCCAACACTTCGGCACTTTATAAGAAGATCCTCTCCGCCAACTACAGCCCGCCCTCCTTCATCAGCGATTCGGTGAAGGTGGAACTGCACTTCAGTTTGTGGGAGTCTGTTCTGTTGAGTTCCCGGTTGTACTTCTCCCTGTGTTTGAAGGGTGATGGGTCATGTCCTTAAAAACTAGGAGCATTCTGGCTACTAGGAGCAAAGGGCATCGCTACCAGGAGCAAGGACGCTACTAGGGGCTCCTGGCCTTACTACTAGGAACAAGAAGCTTCCTTGGGAATCGTTTCACCTGTAGTAACAAGAAGCTACTAGGAGCAAAGGGCTCCTTTGCTCTCGGTATGTACGTGCCAGGATCTCATTGCTGGCCTTCTCACGGTGGACCCTGCCAAGCGTTTTACAATTGCGGATGTGGACTGCCAAGACAAGTCTGACTGTCTTATTCTCGAGAGAATTTGTTTATTTCCTACATTTTGAAGGCCATTGCTACTAGGTTGGAGGCCAGCGCTACTAGTAACAAGAAGCTATTAGCTTATTGTTTCTACTAGCTTCTTGTTACTACTAGTAAGGCACCTGTTACTACTAGCGATGCACCTGTTACTACTAGCGAGCCCGTTTTTTCAAACCGAACTTGTACGAACTTTTTGAGGTTCGTGCACATGCCTGGTATCGGCAAATTCCAGAGGCCGCGAAATCACGAGAAGCGAAGTCAGATGCCTCTTCGGTCCCATTTCATCCACACCAGTTTCGCATACCAGGTGCATCGCTAGTAGTAACAGGTGCATCGCTAGTAGTAACAGGTGCCTTACTAGTAGTAACAAGAAGCTAGTAGAAACAAGTCTTTGTAGATTGTGTAGGCATCTATGCGACCAAGAGACTTGGTGGCGAAGCAATGTGGCACGGCACTTGGCTGACAGTGCTTACATGCCCTGGCTACACACTGTTGAACCTCAATTCGGACAATGGTGGGCAGGAGCCCCGAACCAGAGAAGTCGATCGACTTATTGATTTCAACAATAGCAATGGCCTCCAACCTAATTGACTTCAACGTGTTTAACCCAATTCGTCTCAAGAAGGAGGTTATCCTCGGATCCTTGAAATAAACATCGAACTCAGCCCTACTGGCATTTTTCAGGTCTTTGTTCAACCAGAAACTACGCTTCAACTGTCACTAACTTGGCTCAAGTCTGAAGCAACAGGCTCTTTTACTTCATATCAAGAAGTGCTCCAGCTTGAAATCAATCAGTATTAAGAGAAACGTGACAACAAGTAGTAACAAGAAGCAACTAGGAACAAGTGCATCGCTTCTAGTAACAAGTGTCTTACTAGTAGTAACAAGAAGCAACTAGGAACAAGTGCATCGCTTCTAGTAACAAGTGTCTTACTAGTAGTAACAAGAAGCAACTAGGAACAAGTGCAAAGACCAGAATCGACTTCGAGATTTTTTTTGACAAGGCCAAGCGTGGCATGTTTTGGTAGAAATCTCGTGCGTTCTGCCGTAGCTGATATGACACAAGCAAAGGACATCGCTACTAAGAGCAAGGACGCTACTAGGAGCGCTCCTGGCCTTACTAGGAACAAGAAGCTACTAGGAACAAGTGCATCGCTTCTAGTAACAAGTGCCTTACTAGTAGTAACAAAGAAGCTACTAGGAGCAAAGGGCCTTACTACTAGGAACAAGAAGCTACTAGTAGCAAGGACGCTATTAGGGTGGAGGCGATTACTAGGAACAACAAGCACACAGTGTGGCACACATTAGGCACTGCGCCCACAATCCACACGAAGGCAAGCTTCGCACACTTCAAGCTGGTAGAAACTTCGGTCCTTGCTCCATTTTTGCTTAAGAAGGAGCATACTTAGCTTATACTACATCTTACTGACTTGCCTCACCAGCTACCTCTTCCTGGCACTTTGAGATCCTAGCTTTCTCGCTTTGAGGCTTGGACGAAGATGTGCTCGAAGAGTTGAAGCGACATGGTGCGCCAAATGTGTGAAGCAAGCAGTAACAAGTGCATCGCTATTAGTAACAAGAAGCTATTAGGGGCTCCTGGCATCGCTACGAACGGAGCGATCGGACGCTGCGAACGGGGCTATTAGAGTTGAGTTAGAATTCAATTTAATAAGAATTGCAATAGAATTGAATTTCGAATTGACATAGAATTGGAATTGAATTAGAATTGAATTTGAATTTCAATTCAATGGCCTCCAGCCTACTAGCGATGGCCTCAAGCCTAGTAACCATGGTCTCCAACCTTCCAAAACCGGCTAGTCATGGCCTCCACCCTACTAGGGGTGGCCTTGAACCTACTAGCAATGGCCTCCAACCTATTGGTGCTGGCCTCCAACCTACTAAGTCTAGCAATGCCTCCAACCTAGTAGCGATGGCTTCCAACCTACTAGCCACGGCCTCGAACCTACTACTAGTAACAAGAAGCTATTAGAAGCAATAATTAGAGTTAAACAGTAGAATTAGTATTCAATTTAAATAGAACTTGTTTCACAACTTTGATTGAAGGCCATCGCTGGTAGGTTAGAGGCAATTGCTACTAGGTTGGAGGCCATGGCTAGTACGTTGGAGGCCATCGCTAGTAGGTTGCAGGCCATGGCTAGTAAGTTTTGGAGGCCATCGCTAGTAGGTTGGAGGCCATCGCTAAGGCCAGGAGCCCCTAGTAGTGTCCTTGCTCCTAGTAGCCATGCCAGCAGCCCCTAGTAGCGAACATTGTTCCTTTAGCTGTCTGGGTATGGTGGTGATCGATTGAAATCCTTCTTGAAAGCAGAGTCATTGTGCTTTATTTGAGCTTTGGGGTGTTGAAGGCTTTCCGCGTGAGTATGCCATCAATTGCCTTCAGAACAACAAGCACAACAGCGTGACCACCACGTGCCCTTTTGGTTGAATTGTGCTTGACATTTTTTTGAAACATTGTGTGGAGGAACAGCACCATCTTGTTACAAGGTACTATTTGCTTGCAGCTAAACGCCGCAGGCAACTCATTGTTTGTTGTTTGTTTTTTCGAGTTTGTTTTGGAACATGTATCTCTGATGGGATAGCAATGAAAGGGCAGGATGGAGGCAAGTGAGTTTGGTTTGCTATTCAAACAAGTGAGAGCCTTAGATTGCCTTTTAGATGTTCTCTGTTTATACATATTATATATACATATAATATATATATATATCTACATATACATATACATGTTTTGTTTTGGAAGGATGATGGAGCATTTGCAGATGGAGGAACGCAGCCGGGGAACTCAAAGCTGGACTGTAGGACATGAATCTAAGAAAAAAATCCAATTGAACATGTCATGTTAGATAATTTTATAGAATCATTCTTTCAGACAAAAGACCTCTGCACTTTCCTCTATTCTTTCTTTGACATAGCATTTATAGCAAATCGAAAGCAGGGCACCTTTTTTTGGGGTATGCGCTATAGCCACTCGACCTGTTTTGTAGCATTCTTTTGCGCCACATGCGTCATCTTGCGTCGACTGAGATGCCGAAGAGCGCCGTGTCGTGAGCCCGGTGTGGTAAAAAGGGATGGCCTCCAACGAAGCGATGGCCTGTAACCAAAGTCTCTTTTTTGAATATTTGTTGGAACAGAATCAGGTTATGCAATGGGTCAATGCGTGTGGCACGGGTTTTATGTTTTCACCCTTGACATTGGGTGAGGAAAGCCTGGTGAACACTTTCCAGGTTTCTTGAAGGATGCTTGATGTTTCTTGAAAACGGTTCAACGATCTATAAAAGACATAGCAAACAGAAAAGTCCTTGCCAAGGGCTTTAAAGTAGTAGGTTTGATCCCAAATTTGTGCTGAGGCCGCTTCACCTGCCACACGGCCAGGGGCCTCCACTACGGACCAAAGGTGGGAGATGTCCAAAGGGTTGCATGCACTCCACCCTAGCAGTCCCTGTAGGGACGCCAGGCTTCGGTTGGATGTCGCAGTTATTGGACTGCTCGAACATGTGACAGTTGATTGATTGGACTCCTGGACTCTACTAGGAACAAAGAGCATCGCTACTAGGAGCAAGGACGCTACTAGTAGCTCCTGGCCTTACTACTAGGAACAAGGACGCTACTGCACCCAGGAAAAGAACAAAACGGTTTGGAGCACACGCTTGCTCTAGCAGCTTGAAAGCAGAGCTGTGCAGGAAAATGACTCTGCGACTTCACAGCCCGAACAGCTCGTAGTAATTCACATACCCAAAGCGATGGCCTCCAACCAAATAGCGTCCTTGCTCCGTTTGTAGCGATGCCTGTTGTTCCTAGCAGCTTCTTGCTTCTAGTAGTAAGGCCAGGAGCCCCTAGTAGCGTCCTTGCTCCCAACAGCAAACTATATTAGACCTGTCTAACTTTTCTTTCTTCTTTGTTTCTAATAGCGATGGCCTCCTCACCCCCACACCTTCATCACCTCCCTCCCTCGAAGTTTGTGTCAGGCCAGAGGCAGAACAACGCAGAGAGAGCAGTGGAGGCGAATGAATTGCCAGTTGAAATTGAATGAACAACGAAAACCAACCTGATAGCAATGGCCTCCAACCTAGAAACGATGGCGTCCAAACTAGAAGCGATGGCCAATAGCAATGGCCTCCAACCTAAGAACGTTGGATTGAATTGAACGGCTTTGTTATTTTAACCTGCAACCCTAATAGCTTCTTGTTCCTAGTAGTAAGGCCAGTAGCCCCTAGTAGTGTCCTTGCTCCTAGCAGCGATGCCAGGAGCCCCTAGTAGCGTCCATGCACCTACCCCCCTTCCAACATTTTCGCAATTTTGTCACGCTGACGCTGTGTGCAGGTGTTGCTCAAGACACCACACATAAAGTTGCATCTCGGTTGGTCTGCAGCTTGGTGCCTTCGAACCCACATCAATTGCTTCAGTACGGCCAGGAGGCTACTAGTAGCGTCCTTGCTCCTAGTAGCGATGCCAGGAGCCCCTAGTAGCGTCCTTGCTCCCTAGTAGCATTTTTTGAAAAGGCGTAAGACCTTCAAAAGGCTTAAGATAGGCCACTTGTGGGTAGTGATGTTCACAACTTGTCTTTGCAAGAGGTTTTATAGGGTGGAGGCCATCGCTATTAGGGTGGAGGCCATCGCTAGTAACTCAAAAAGAACTTTGTTACTAGTAGCTTCTTGTTACTAGTAGTACGGCCAGGAGCCCCTAGTAGTGTCCTTGCTCCTTAGTAGCGATGCCAGGAGCTCCTAGTAGCCTTAGATAAATCGTAATCGACTCGGTAGACATCTCATTGGCGAGGTGACATCACCACATCAAACCCACCGAGCCTTCACCTCAGAAACGACAAAACACATATTTGCTTGCCAGCTTTTAAGTACTTTTAGCCTTCATGTTAGATATATAGTTTGTCATTTTTCCAAAACATGGCACGGACTGTTGACCCTTGCATCAGTCGGAAAGAAACACAGTTGCTGAGGTCACCACACCAACCACGGCGCAGGCGATAAGAATGGACATTTCAACAAAGTGCTCTTGTTCGAAAAAAACCATATCAAGAAAGAAAGACCGAAGACGAAGGGAAGGCATAGTGATGGGCAGCACCAATTCAGTGCAAAAAAATGACCTCCAACCTACTAGCGATGGCCTCCAACCTAGAAGCGATGGCCTCCAAAGTGCATTGTTTTGCTTTTGATGCCTGAAGGCTTCTACTCCCAACTCATCTCGCATGATTGTCGTGGACCTAATCTTGAGAACAACCCACCAAAGCTACGTTTGGATGGTCTCAAGACAATTGAGGTCAGTCCGGAGACTGTGTCCCGTCCATGCTCGGCTACGCAGGCAGACTTCACACTGTCAACGCCAGTCAATGACAACATTTGACTTGGTTTTGTTCAGGCAATATCCATGCAGACTACCCCGAAGACGACTCACACTCGTGTCAGAGCCTTTGTGCAGATGGTTTAACGATGTCTTTGGGTGTATTTCTGCCGATTTGATTGTTGATGCTGCCAATTGCTTGGCGTTTCTGCGCGCTCTTTCTGTCGCACGCAAGGAACAAGAAAGCATTTGAAAAAGATGTTTCAAGAGATATGAGTATTCCTGAAAGGGTTCTTCTTGGCCGCTCCAGAGGTGTCGCAAGACTCCGCTCGTGCACAGGCCAGTTGGATGCATTTGAAATACGCTTAGTTTTGGCTAGGCCAACAGACTTATAAGACTCATGGGAGCTTCAGCAGCTGTCATTTCCAGCCCTTTTGACAGGCTTCCAGTCCCAATTCATCTCGCATGATTGCAATGGACCTTAGTCAGTTGTATATTAACTTCAACCTCATCTTGAGAACAACCCGCTGAAGCTACATCTTTTGTTTGAGGTCAGTCCGGAGACTGTGTCCCGTCCATGCTCGGCTACGCAGGCAGACTTCACACTGTCAACGCCAGTCAATGACAACATTTGACTTGGTTTTGTTCAGGCAATATCCATGCAGACTACCCCGAAGACGACTCACACTCGTGTCAGAGCCCTTGTGCAGATGGTTTAACGATGTCTTTGGGTGTATTTCTGCCGATTTGATTGTTGATGCTGCCAATTGCTTGGCGTTTCTGCGCGCTCTTTCTGTCAATATCCGATGTTCCACCTCTTTTTGAAAGCTGTTGTGCGGTTCGTGGTATAGCTCGGCACAGCTATTTGACCATCCTATGAACTACATGCAGTCACAACAGAATAGATCCCTGCAAATTTCATGCTTGACACCGATAGCATTGGCACAGAAACAAGCTCAAGGTGTCGCCAGACTCAGCACGAGCGCAGGCCAA